GGAATTGTAAATGAAATAGCAAGTGGGATTGGGAGTGGGCCCCTTCCCCACGTTGGCTCGTTTCTTTTTTTTTCCCTCATTTTTATATTATTTATTTATAGTATATAGTTGCATTAAAAAGTAAGTTGGACCCACCATATGAAATAGATTGTGTATTTCATTGATGTAGAGGAAATGAAAGTTGTATATAGTGGAATGGAAAAAGTTGTTGATGTGGCAGTAGGGACCACATATGAAATAGATTGCTATTTCATGGATGTGGATGGTCTTATACCTCTAACTAAAATAAATCAAAGCATTTTACGGAAAAAAAAAAACCGAACCATGAACTTTACTTGCTACCAAATCCAAACACAATCTCTTCCTCTCACCACTTCCCTTCCCAAACCCAATATCAATTTTTACTCCAAGTTCACACCCCCAACTCCTAGTGTGTTGCGTGAAAGCTTAATTTTAGCAATCATTATGCTTGCAATTAGATTAATGGACACCAGCAAGCACCAAAATTCCACCAGACGATGAGTTGTCTTCACTTTGAGTTTTGTCATTAAACAACTTGCCCTATATGTTTATCAGTTTGGAGGCCATATGATGAGCAATACCGAATCACTTGCAGCGAAGTTACCGGTCACAGTAATGACAATATGAAACATGTGTTAATAAACACGAATATGAGTTACTTTTATGGATTGACATTAGAATGATGGGATTGGACAATGAGATCGTCCTTAGTTAAGCGACATGTAAATTGGTTCATTTGGTATGGAGGACACAAACCATTAAAATTCTAAATGATTTGGGTGAGTTTGTATTTAGTGTTTTCAAAATCGTGTTATATGAGTTAGGTATTAAAATATCTAACCCAACCGAACCGACCCACGTGCACCCCAAGGAAGATTTTCAAAACTTAGTATTTAACCGGACTAAAATGTTCAGAGAACCAGTCCCCTATAGTTTGCACAAAGATATGATTGCTTCACTATAGTTCTGGAAATTAATGGTAATTTAAGAATTCTATATCGCTTCTACATATTCAATATTATAATTCGATATGAAATATTCGAACCAACAATATTTTGGTTGCAAATTTATGGTTATCGTCTATTTATAAGATAGATAAAATTTCAAATTAAGTATTAAACTATAATTAAAATAAAAATATCAAAATACCAAATAAGTACTTACGGAATATTTATTGGGCTAGCTAACTGTTGAAAAGTTTTGTGATTTCATATTTTAGCTTCGTATATATTTTTAATTTAAAAAAATACAACAAATCTACATAGACTGATTGATTTTAAATCTTCATTTTGTTTGAAGTGATCATGGTTCAAATCTCAATAGGTCTATCTTTTTCTGTAAATAAATAAAAAATACAGATAATTGTGAAGACAAAAATGTCTTTCCTAATTTCCCTTTCATTGTAGGAAATTGGAAAAGTGAGATTAAGTTTCAAATAATTAAATCATATACCCTAAATCTATAGAACTTAAACCCTAATATCACATATACAGAATATAATCAATGATTCTGATTCCCCAAGATGTATACAATGTACCATATGCACTATATTAGGATTTAGATAATTATGATATAGGGTTTAGTTACGTGATTAATCTATGATCTAGATAATGTTATTTAACTAAGAAGATGCAATAACTCTCAATCCATCGAGCGTACCAGAGAATTTCCAATGTATATACACTACCATTGTTTGTTAAATTTAGCCAATGATAATTGGCTCATTTGTCAATGGTATTTAGTCTTTCAATTCTATGCTTATAATTGTCAACAATTAGGGAAATTGTTAGCCAATGATTTTTGGTCATTCACTTATAGCATTGAAAATATCTCGTTACAAAACTATAGATCACAAATGTCAAATTTTATGTTTTGAAATAAAATTTTGTATAGCACTTCTGTAAACAATCCTTGTATTCCTACAAACTACAAATTCATGTAACCTAATAAATGAAAATTTGTAAGAAATACAATCATACATAAACTCAAAATGTACTATTTGATTCTTGGTGAAGAATTGTGTGATTAGAGGAACTCACTTAGTTGATTCATAAAGCTAGGTATATCATGGTGATTCACTTTGTAAATAATTACATATATTAATTAATTCGATGATTGATTATTGCGGTGGATAGTCCTATGATTTTGAGATATTTTAGTACTTTCTCTCTTTATTTCAAAAAATGCATAAACATTGTTGTAGTTCAGATGGTTAGGGATATTGATTATCAATCTAAAGGACTCGAGTTCAAGTCTTTGTAATGACATTTTTCTTCTCGTAAGAAGATATTTAAGTTCTAAGTTGAACTTACAAATTTACCTCTAGCTACAATTAAGGAGAGTGCAAAGAATTTGAAATGCTCAAAATTTCCTTATGTACCTCTATATATTATTACGTTATAGTTATTACTTCTTAATGAATAATAAATTCTAAATTATTTTTTTATATAAGAATATTTCCATATTCAATTTATGTCATATTATGTTTTTCCTAGTGGTTAATTTTGGGTGATTAAGTTTTTGAGCTGGTCAGGAGTGGATGAATGATTGCATAAAAATAAGTAGTAGTTTTTTTTTTTGGCAAAAGATATTTCATTAAATATGAAGATCGAACAAAAGTTACACTCTGGATTCCACCCAGGCCTGGAAATCAAATAAGCGACATGTAGTCGGGTACAGACTAAGGGCTTTTCGAGCCACCGAGTGGGCTACCCTATTATTACTCCGTCCTACAAATCGAACACTAAGCCCAGAATGAAGAGAGAAAATCCTGATAAGCTCATCCAGAACAGGCCCCACCCTACTATCTCGCGCATCCCGCCGATTGATTTTATCAATTAACACCTGGGCATCCCCTTGGAAACACGTCGAGAGAAACCCTAGCCCCTGGCACCAACTGACTGCCTCCCGGAGGACCAACAGTTCCACCACCAAAGGATCATCGGTATCCGGAAGGTGAAGACCACGGGCCATACGGATTGCCCCCGTGGTATCCTTTAGTATCAAATAAGTAGTAGTTTAATTCACTTCGCATAAGGTGAAAACCCTTGAGAAGGAATGTAGGTTGTTCGAGCATTGGTTGGTCTAAATTATTTTTTTATATAAGAATATTTCCATATTCAATTTATGTCATATCATGTTTTTCCTAGTGGTTAATTTTGGGTGATTAAGTTTTTGAGCTGGTCAGGAGTGGATGAATGATTGCATAAAAATAAGTAGTAGTTTAATGGGTTAATACCCTCGTTTGGCACGAAGTATAGCGTTAGTGACATTTCTGGCCCAAGTTTTCAAATAAGACATCTCTGGCCCACTTTTCAAATTATCGGACGAATTTGGCCTATGGGACGGGTTGACTGTCAGATTTGACGGTCAACAATGTTCTCCATTGCTGACTCAGCATTGGACTCTGACGTGGCTTGTCCACTTCATTTATTTTTATTTCCCTTTTTATGAACATTTCAAGTCAGTAAGTTAAAAAAAAATAATAAAAAAAAACAAACCTAAAAGGGAAAGGTGGAGACCAGGTCCACCACACACTACCCATCTCTTTCATTCCCCCTTCTTCCTCCTGTGAACCCAACCCCCTCGTATCCCCTTCCCCGAACAACTCCGCCGCCCATCAATCAATCATCTTCCCGGACCGGATCCAATCCGTGAGGTGGTCCACAAACCCATTCAAACCTTTCCCTCCGCATCCATCGGCCGCTCCACCTTTTCACCTCCACCGTCGTCACCTCGATCCCGACCCGATCCAGCCGGCTCTTGATCGCCGAAAGCAGCTTGAAATTGTCCTGCGAATTGGTCGCCAGAGCCTTCTTCACCAACAGCTCTCTGTCCGTCTTTTTCAATTTATGCAAATCGATGGTCTCGGTCCTCCTCAGCACCGCGTACCTGTCCCGCTTCTCCGACGGAAGCCTGGCGATTGCTTCCAGAATCAGCTCGTCTTCGTCGTCCCTCGCCGCCGACGAGGTTTCCGCCCCGCTCCCGGCGAACGAGTCGATTTCCAGCTCGATGAAATAACAAATCTGCGTTGTGGTTAATTGATTGGGGGTATGGCAGTTCAAGGGATCGGGCGGAGTTGTTCGGGGAAGGGATAAGAGGGGGTTGGTTTCACAGGAGGAAGAAGGGGGCTGGTCTCCACCTTTCCCTTTTAGTTTTGTTTATTTTTTTTTATTTTTTTTAAAAATAAATGACGTGGACAAGCCACGTCAGAGTCCAATGCTGAGTCAGCAACGGAGAATATTGTTGACCGTCAAATCTGACAGTCAACCCGTCCCATAGGCCAAATTCGTCCGATAATTTGAAAAGTGGGCCAGAGATGTCTTATTTGAAAACTTGAGCCAGAAATGTCACTGACGCTATACTTTGTGCCAAACGAGGGTATTAACCCTAGTTTAATTCACTTCGCATAAGGTGAAAACCCTTGAGAAGGAATGTAGGTTGTTCGAGCATTGGTTGGTTGGTTTAGTTACGTTGAAGATAAATCTCTCTATAATCGTGAGTTCCCCGCATTGTGGCGGAAAATTGTTAGGCGTTAGGGTTTCATCATCTATCACACAATTTGACTATTAACTAGCTAGGCAGTTTCATCCCAAGTAAGTTTCCTCACCTGAGAAACCGATAATTATTTAGTTTACCTTAGCTAATCGCTTTAATGTGTTTAATGTTGTTTAATAATTGCAAACCGATATTAAGTATATAAAAATGAATTTGAGTAATAGTACATTTAGAGAAACATGTGAAATACAACCTTGACCCTACACTATGAGGTACTATTGGTGCATTTTCCAAAAGTACCATGTAATTTGACATATCATCTATTTCGATAATTCCATGTATATCAAGTATTAGACTACATATTCAGAGTTGACTAGAGACTTCATGTTAAAAATCGTCTTTGATGTTACCTGTCCTTCAAAACCCTCATTGACAAATCATACCCATGAAAATTGTCATCCAGACCCAAACTCAAAATCACCATTAATCTTTAACACTGGCATAGTCAAATACCGATCATTTGGGCAAACCAAAATAGCAAGAATGGTTTATTTATCCGCAATCAATATGTTTGCTTCTCTAGTAGATACAGAAAAAATTTGGCTTTACAATGTGGAAGCTTAAAGTGAGGGGAAAGAACTTAGAATGAAGAAAAGAGCAAATAAGCTGAAGCAATCATGAATGGCCATGTCCAAGAAGAGGATGAAGGAATGGGAGAAGAAGAGCTTCCAGTCACGAAATTTGGCAACCATGATGTGTTGATTCCCAAAGGCCCATCTCCTGATTCTGTTGGGCCGTTATCGGAACCTGTCGTCGCCGATATCGACAAAGGCCCAACATTTGCAGACTTTTGACTGTATAAATAAAGAAAACAAATAAATAAATAAATAAATAAATATAATAATAAGTTCCTTTAACCACCAGAAGCTAAAGCGATGAGAAAATGTTCTACTTGTACACTTGTATTTGGCTTTTTGGCAACGCAAAAGCAGGCCATGCCAACGAAGCAGATAAAAAGTAGAAGAATCTTCACCCTCAGATATCAGAATCTTACAACACTATCATTCACCTTTTCTTGCATGCCCTTGTCTTACTACATAAGTCTAATTTCATTTGCGTACCTCGATTTCGGACAATGCTCGATTTAACCACTCTACAATTCAAAATTGCACCCTATCTCATATTCATGAACTCCTTAAAGTCCTTCATATTATCTATGGACTCCATTTAGTTTAACCAAAACCTAGTTTATCGGGCACTTAACAAGAAATGGCCTAATCTTTCTGTTTTCCTAATTTACGTTGTCAGATTACATTGTTCTTTTTATGAACCATATCACAATGTCCATACCAAACAATACAACACGGTTCGACTACCCTAAACTCCACGTGGTTTTGATTTCTATCAAGGACTAGATTGTAAGGCTCCAAAAATACGATGATCATATCGTAAACTTCATGGAACTTAGGGACCAACTTCATTCAATTCTTAATTACCTCGTGGAAGAAGGGCAGAATGTAATCATATAATCGGCTCCGCTACAAGTGAAAGTACTCGACGCGTCATCGTAAGCGTAGCTATACGCCCGGGGGCAAGCCGACTTGAACATCTCCGAATAACGCGACGGCTTACACGTGTCAGGCGACCCGAACTCCCCGCTGCAGCAGTACTCAGGGGTCCCGAACGCCTCGCAGGCGCTATTGCAGGCCGCGCCCGACCCGACCCGGAGCTCCGACGGGCACCGCCGGTTCAGGTCGGTTACGCACCCGGTCGAGGAACAAGTACCGCCCGACCCTCCCATCGGCTCGACCACAATTGGCAAGTTGTAGCCGTCGACGAGGCTGACGTCATAGTAGTCTTGCCCGCCGGCGGGGGCAACGGTGAACTCCGCCAGCGTGGCGGGCGGCTTCGCGTTCTGGCCATTGCATTCGATCTGGTTCGACCCGCAGTCACCCGTGAGACAGGTGCCCTGGTTGGTGGACGGGTCGAACTGGCAGCCGGTCCGGCCCCAGAACCGGCCCGACCAGCTGGGTGGGGCTTGGAAGGTGCGGGTCCCGCCTGAGGGAAGCTCGAAGCCCGTGCTGTCTAGTGGCTGGCTGCCCGCGTTGGCCAGAATCCCCGGCCAAATCGTGGATTGACACCTGTTCACCACTGTAAATGTGGCTCCTTGAATTCCTGCGTTCATAATATTCCACGTAAGACTTTCTAATGCAACCTTAGCTAGAAGTGTCAGCTTCTAGCCATTGTGACAACAGGAAAAAATGTTGGAAATCAATATTAGAAGGGAAACGATTGATAATGCAGAACAAGGGGAAGAAGAGAAACCCTAGATTTACCTTTAGCCAAGGAAAGCAGAACGAGGGAGATGAACAGAGAAAGGGATGAAACCATTCTGTTGGGTTTTTCAGAATGATGAGTATAAATCGAGAGAAGGGTCACAGCAGATCAGGTGCTAAAAAATGTTCAGTCTTTGGGTTATATAGTGATGGAAGCTAGTGTGTTGTGAGGAGAGATGAGAGGAAGAAGAAGTAAAGGGAATAATTTGGAGAAAGGAGAGGGTGGAAAGAAGGCTTCTTTGGTTGATAAATGGAGGCAAGGAAAGAAGGGAGGTGGGAATGGAATTTCCTGCCCATAAAATATTGGGAGAATTCAGGATGGAAGATGGAGAGGGCAGAGGAGATGAGAGGAGAATGTGTTGGTAGGGAAGAAAAGCTTGGGGTGAATGAGGTTGGAGGGTTTATTTATATAATAGTAGTAGTGGAAGTTGGGGATCAGTACTCTTTTGGCTTGTCATGTGAATCCAAATGGAGAAAGGGATAGTAACCACTAACCAAGTAAAGAGGGATTTTTTTAACTTAGAAGGATTAAAGAATGTAAACACAAAAAATAGTGTATAAGCTAGAAGAGTATATATAGGTAGATGGGGATGATAATTCAGATGTGAACCGTTTTAGCAAATTTTGTTTGACCTGTTTTGGAGTGGATAATTCTCGCCCGTAAACAGGGTGGGACATGTATGAGTATTCTTTGTAACATGACATGCGTTAACTCGTCCCATTCGGATCCATTTTCGCATAAACTATATGTAATTTTCCTCAAATTAGTTAGAATTTTACTTTTATTATCTCATATTTTAGCTATAATGAAATTGTAAATAATTGACTTCCTCAATTTCTCAAATAATTTAACTAAATTTATTATATTATAGCTTGTTTTTTTGGTTTTTTAATGACCTCAATTTCTTAAAACATTTTCAAATTTTCCTTTTAGATTGCATACACATATATATATATGTCCACATGCTCCGGTCTGCATCCAACGTTTCTACTAACAAAATACAAATAACAAATCAAACCCTAAAATGGTGTTAATATCTTTCACCCACGTTCCTACAAACTAAATTTCTTAAAATTGTCACGGTACACATTATAATATTCTATTTTAGTGGTAGTAATGATCAATGAGTCATCAATTAAAATTATTTAGAATTTTGTCCTACAATTTGAAGAAATGTGATTAAAAGTAAAGAGAAAAAAGGTAGGATGGGAAGTTACATGCTTTCTTTCTTTTCTTTCCATATCTTTTTGGCATGCAGTCGTGTTGGTGTGTATGATATAATTATCTTCTTCCTCGTTCGCCCATCCATCCATCCATCAATCGTTCTGATCCTCTCCACCATGCTGTTGCTGCGATGGCAAGATAAGAAAAGCGCAATTCATCATCGTCACCTTTGACACCCTTTTATTTTTGCTTGCTTCAAATATATATATATTTGTCAGTACTTTTCTTTTTCACCAATAGCTATCAAGTTCAGTCGTCGATGGTCTTCCTTCCTTTCTTCTTCGCCACCTTTCATCTTTTACTTGCTGTCTATTGTATTGATCTAATCCCTTCCTTTCATTTCATATACCTTTTTTTCCTGCTTGACGACCTCATCGGTCACCTTTGTTTGTATTTTATTTTCTCCAAAAAGATGTCTTCCTTGGCATTGCATGTGTGGTCTTTGGGGTCAACCAATCGACGTATTTTGGTTTGTCGGGGGTTGCGTACTTTGAGCGCACTTTCCTCTGCTCAAATTGTTATAGTGGAGGACCCCAAGAATCGGCAAGGGGTCATTTACAAGAATTGATTTGTGGTCAAATCAGTTTATGAAGTTATTGTTGGTTTGGCAAGTGATATGGTTTGACTGGTGGTATAATTGGTTTAGGATAATATAATTTATTGTCTATTTTTTTTTTGTTTTAAACATAATAATAGTTAACCCTTTTCAGAAATCCATCAAATATTATACTTTTTCTCGGGAATTCGGGTTCAAATACCCACGGATTTGTTGTTTGTTTACTGACTTCATATAATTCAGAAAACACAAGTTTTCTTGAAGCTTCTTGCTCATATCTCTCATCAAACCGTGCTATGCGATAATGTGTATGCTAGAAGATAGAAATCGTCGATCGGAGAAAGCCGGCGTCTGGAATGGGTTTATTAAAAAATTACGGGCTAAAAAATGAAAAAAAAAAAAATTGGATTCCCCTTTTATATCTTACATCGATAATATTTTTACCCTGGTGGATCTCTTTTTCTTTTAATAAAAGATTGGAATCTTGGCTTATTCATTGGTGGAATAAATTTATCAGCCAAACTCTCAACATTTTCTCCAGTCAATCGTTAGTTGACTCTGACGTAGTAATGAGGCACAGTGAAATAATTGACTTTTAGCCACATCACCAAACAAATTTACTTAGCATTCATTTATCTAACTAACAATTAACCAGATGAAAAGATGACAGTTTGGCTAATAAAATTACTAGCATAGGGCCCGGCCTATTGGCCGGGGGAGTTTTGTCTTAGTGTTTAAAATTTTGTACTCGTTTTTCGTCCCATCCTGGTTTTTATTTCATTGAAGTTCTCGACAGAGGAAATGACTATATGTGATGGCTTGTTTTGCTTAGTATATGGAGAAGGGAAAAAGTTTAAGTAAACATTCTCGATATTCTTTTTGCCATTGCTCGAGGGAAATTGGGGTTTCATCCAAAATCCCGAGTAAATTTTTTGATGGAGATTGAATTGCGACAGGGCATAAAAAATAATCCAACTTTGACCCTTTTCATGGGACTGTATATCTCAAAGCCACTGTAGTCAACCTCTAATTCTCGTATGCAGGTAGATGAGTGGCGCAAAAGGCTAGTGTTGTGAGTTGTGTGTGAAGCGAAGAATCCAAAGAGGTTCGATGATATGATTAGTTTCATGGAGGCTTATGTGTCTAACCCATATGACTCTTTTATCATAAATACTTGAATTTCCTAATAGTGACTACCATGTAAGTTCATTGTCGTGCTGGTTATGATACCTTTAATAACTTCAGTTACTATAGTCGTCTAAATATGAGTCTTGAATAAGATGACTATTATCAATTGTCATGAGCAATGAGGTCTATTTAATAAACTTATTTGTAACTAATTAATTAATTTAATCAAAGTATAAGATACGGATTTAACTGGTCAATCCAACTCAAAAAAATATTAAAGATCACTATTTTGACAAATGATCCTTGTCTGCTTCCATAAGATCATCGTATTCTTATATAAGGCTCGAATTAGGAAAAACAATCCTTCTTCCAATGCATAATACCTAGAGACTATGAAACATAAACAACATTGAATATAAAATAAAAGTAGATAATATCATGTTTCTCAAACTCAAAGGAACAATCATAACCCTAAGGTAGGATCAATATGTGGCTTAACCAAGTCCACACTGAACTTCTTTATCATATATAATTTAATTCATACCTGATCAAGTTGCTTGATAATAATAATCCCTGAAAATGTTAAATCAACAAATCTAACTATTTCGATTGTGAAATTAGTATTGAAGACTTTTATTAGTGTCACAAAATAAAAATTGAGATACTAATTTACACTATTTGTACATTATAATCGTAATATATAAACCAAAAAGTATTAATCTTGGATAATAAATTATAATGGAAAGCTAAGTACTGATTAAGTTGAGAAGGATTCAGATAACAAACATAGAATTTTGAGATAATAATAAAAAAAAAAGTCACGCAAGCATCAATAAAAAGGGATAATCATTAGTCGTTACCAATATACATTAGAAAATAGAAACATTACCAAAATAGAAAGGGATAAATAAAAAAAACGTATAGAAAGCTAACGAATTATAAATGTATTCGTTAGGGTAAAATTGAAATCTTCCCATCCCTTCAGCATTTTGCTTGTTTATATGCCTTTTTTTGTTATCATAGTCCAGACAAACTATACAACTGGTGTTTTGTCAGTCAAAGAGAAAGAATAGAAGCGGTCAAGTGAATAAGGCGGGAGAAAAGGTGAGTGGGCCGCAAATTGATTTTAGTTGAGAGCCCAAAGTGAAAAGAAACAGAAAAGACGGGAAAAGAAATTAGTGGGCTTTTAGCCCATTTGGCAGTCGTCGTCTTCGCTGTGTGGAAGGGCAGCGACGCGAACTGAAGCAGAGGAAAGGGAAGATGAGCAGAGAAATTCATTGAGAGGGGATACAGTCTGGGTTCAACTTCTCCTAGGCAAACGAATTGATCGGCGACATTAGGGATTTAAGAGAGGCAATCGTGATCCCTCTCCTCTTTCATGCACTCATCAAGAACAAAATATTATAAAAGTAATTAAAAATAAGATGAGCGATAATAAGACAGAAAGAGAGGAAGAGAAGAATTGCGGAAGATGGGGAAGCCTCTCCGAAGCGTGCGGCGAGAGATAGGAGATTGGAAGGCAGAAAGTTAGAAAAGGATGGATACGAAATTTACGATTAAAGCCTTCCGCACTATGCGGAGATTTCAGCAAAGGCTGATGTGGCAAAACCTATTTCTTGACATTGCCTTATAGTATTTTGTAGATAGATTTTTGAAAAACTTTTACGGTTATTTTGCTTAAAAAACGATTTGCCTATTTCAGTCACTTTCCTATGGCTTTTCTAGTATTTTCTTAAAATCGAGTAGCTAATCTCAAATATGTGCATCAATTAGCAAACCTACATCACAGTTATTTAATATTGGATCCCACCTTTGTGGAAGCATCTTAATTTGCACAGTTCATCATTAATTAGATTCCTAACGATAATACTAGTTATTATCATTATACATAAAAACAATTAAACAAATGGTTGCATATAAACTTTGATTCCAATTTGATGCCTCTATCTATCAAAAATTTAAAAGGCAATCGTTCAAGTGTTCACATTATGAAAGATTTTCGTTTTGCTGGATCGACCAAATATACGAGACAAGTATTAGAAAATATAAATAGGAAAGCTGCTTTAATTTAATTCTTTTCCCCCTTTTCTTTGTCTAAACAAAGTTCACCAGCTAAGCTAGGTAGCTGTTTTAATACGCACCGTACTGATCTTTTTCCTTTGCTTTGGGTGATTCACAGACAAGAGTACTGCCCTTTTGAGATGGACCTCACACGTTAAATAGCTAGCTATACGAAATTTCCAAGTAAACTAAGATGGTTTGGATGAATCAATTGAAAAACGAGACAATTTATTAATCAATTGTCTCGTTTTACAAAATGAGTCGTGTAAAACGAGTAAATTTGAATTAGCTGTCCCACTCAAGACAATTGTAATTGCTTCAAAATGAGTCAATTCAGAATTTCCAAGGCCAAATTGCTTCATTCAAATTTTCTGCTGCTAAACGAGTCAATCTGACACAATTGTCTCAAAACGAGACAATTGTATCAGATTGATCCATTAGAATTTATCATCCAAATGGCCTAATTACTTTTGCACAACTTGTACGAACATCTTAGAGAAAATCTAATGGAAATTAGAATTTTATGACTCATCGTTTTTTCAAAAACAAAATTATTTTTTACGACTCGTCCTTAATTAGTCAATGTATACTTGTGTAGTTTAACCCCACCAAAACGATCATTCTAAACACCGACATAATCGTGTTTCCTCCTTCTCACTCCAAAGGTCGACCCAATAAAATAAATTGGTTAACTATACTTCAGAGGGCTTCTCCGGAATGACTTTGCAGGCCCTGCATATCGGTATCACTTCTTTTCTTTGCAAATGATTTGTATATTTTTCTTCAAGCATCGTCTCATTCTTCTTGCACAACTCTCCTCTCGCTGCTTCAAGTTTACCAGGGTCTAAAATCTAAATGGCCAACGAATCAATTTGGCTAAATCCAATGTTTGCTTTTGCAAAGAATACCCCTCTCTGGCTCTCTCCCCCTGGCTTAGTCAATCAATGGCACGTTGATTCAAGAAACAAACGAATATAAGCCGTCTATATTATAGGTAGGGCTACAAATGAGCCGAGTTGTTCGCGAGTGGTTCGACGTTCGACTCGGAAAAAGCTCATTCGAAATTCGGCTCGTTTACTAATGAGCCGAGCTTGAGCTTAGCCTTCTGCAGCTCGTGGAGCTCGCGAGCTAGCTTGACTCGGTGGCTTGTTGAGCTCAACTCGTGAGCTGGCTCGTTAAGAGCTCATGAGATGTCTCAACTCTCAAGATTGTGGCTAGAGAGCCAACTCAATTACTGAGTTATGAGCGAATCGATCTATATGAGTTTGATTTTGATAATTCATAGGATTGTTAAATTATATATCTCACTCTATATGAAGTTTAACACGTAGATTATGTGAGCAAATATGTTTTATTTAATTTTAAAAAAGCCATTATGTATCATAGATTGCTTCGATACTGTGAAATAGCATAATTTTCACAAATTAAAATTTATTAACTAAATAATTTAATACCACAAAGTATAACATAAAATTAGTTAATATCGAATACTTAACTATTATTATTATTTTCTTCATCTTGGCATTAATCACATGTATCATGTATTACATACAAAACGAATATATCAAATACGAGTTAAGATTTTATTAAGCAAGCTAGCTCGCAACTCAACTCGACTCGGCTTGTTAATAAACGAACCGAGCTCGACCTCGACTCATTTATTAACGAGCCGAGCTCAAACTGAGGAAAGCTCGACTCGGCTCATTTGCAGCCCTAATTATAGGTGTATTGGGCCGAACCCTATTGGGCAAAGATGGGGCCTGATTTGTGTGGAAACTTGAAAAAGCTTAAAAAGGGAAGCATAGCAAGGGCAAGATAAGGAAGAAGACCAACTTTGCTTTTGGAATTTGGGCAAAAGTGTTTGCCTCTGGATTCATGCAAACCCTATTTGCTGAAATCCACGTCAAATTTTCCATTGTTGTCGTGGAAGGCACTTGCTTGTGGTTTCTTACCCTTCTGCTACAATAATCAATGAAGAGTTAAGTGAAATATGAACAATAAGTCAGGATGGCCGAGTGGTCTAAGGCGCCAGACTCAAGTTCTGGTCTTCGAGAGAGGGCGTGGGTTCAAATCCCACTTCTGACAAACTTTATTATTTTTTTCCACTATGTTTTTGTATTGTGAATTTGTGATGTTAGAACCAAGGCCCAAAGGTCGGATGAATTTGTGCGAGGCCCGGCCCAATTAGTCGGGCTCCTCGTTTCCATTCGAGGGAAGATGTGACGTGGCAATTTGCTCACTCGATTTTTACCGAGTTCCGGCATGTATCCAAGGATGACGCAAAATGCCATCACCTAGCTAGTTATGGATTTGACCTTTCCATGTCATTTTTGGACGACATTTCGTCTCTTCCTACGCATAGTAAGTGATATTATCCATAACCTAATAGTTTAACACTAAATTTTCAAGCCACTAACGTATAATGGTCAATAAAGAGTCATTAGGAAGTCCAATTAAAACTTCATTGCATTGCACCAACGGGGCAAAGAGCGTCTGTAATTGCTACCCATGTCGTATTACTATCAATATAATACCAACAAGTCGACTTAGATGAAAAGTTCACGCACTAGCTAGCTAGTATATTAGTATTACTCCTGCATAAAGTTCCTTGGAATAAGAAGGATGAAGCAAATAGTCGCCTGCCGCCAATTTAACTTTGCTTTTCTATTGTTGATAAATTCTTATATCCAAAAAATGCGTATATCATGTTTCAAGAATCAATACGAAAAAGTAGACCAGGCAATTGTTAGTAAATGAAATAAGATATGTTATTATTGAACTTTCTCTCAACAAATCAATTATTGTGTTTCAAATCGACAACAACGCTATCTATTAAGCACATGTTATTCAAACCCATACGAATATATACTTTCGTTTGAAAGTGCTAGTAAACGGTATATGAACTACGTTTGAACCTCTCCTAACAACTCGGAGTATTGGGATCAACTGTATCTTGACATGGACACATGGTATCAGAACCTTCTGTAACCGAGAGGTCTCATGTTCGAATCTTGGTGACCCCCATCTGTCATCTGTTTCTGTTAAGCACATGGTGTCCGGACCTGTGCCTATGCAAATTCCAAGCCTATCTGAGTGGCTTGAGTTTGAGGGGGTATGTTGGTAAACGGTATATGAATCACAATTGAAGCTCTTCCAAAACTCAAATTATTAGAATCAACTGGTGGTTCTTGACAGAATCTAAATATAGTTTTCTTACTTCATCATCTTTGCGTATAATATCACCCATATTTGTGCTTTCCAAGTCAAGCGAAGAGAAAACCTAACACGAAACATAACATCAGCCAGCCCCCTGACTTCTTAATATCTTCTGTTGTTAGGTTTCAGCTACAACAACAGATTAACCAAAGCATCTCACTGTCTTTGGCAATGGCAATGGCCGGCGCGCATGTTATCTGTCGTGTAAAGTTGGCGGTTGGATAAATGTTGATGTTAATTAGGATGACCCATGTGATGTGAGTCATATAATTTGATTACTCCATACTTCCTTTTTCTTTCTCGCAGCATATTCCCAGTTTTGTACTAACACCAACAATACGGCTTATCTAATCTCCCTTTTCCCACCTTCTTTGTAAAGAAAGCTTTTCTTCGTCATATTAACACAATCAACAACCATGAACCATATAGCTTATCTATCCTATCCATAGCACATACTATACACCTTTCCAAATACATTCCACGCGGCCACATGCACCTAAACCCTATTCTACTGGCCGTCCCCGTGAGTATGCATAACTAGAAATTTCATATTCGATTACATAATTAAGCTACACTATATTTTCCGTTACATTAACTCCTTAGTCATTGGAAAATGGAATATGATGAATTGGTTGTTGAGGGGATGTTGGAACATTGAATATATATATGGCCGAAAATTCTTATGTTTGGATTTCAAAAACTGATGATTTAAGTAATAACGATATGATCAATTATGTTATGGCATAAAATGGGATAGTGTGGACTTTGTCGGCTTATCTTTGTAGGGTTGTCAAGAATGATATTATCGTGCAACTCGTGAGAGTCAAATTTTTATTCCGCTAATACAAATATCTTTCAATGAATACACATACAATAATATAATATTTAAAATTACATGATACTCTTGAGAGCACTTTTACTATGCTATATAGTATTGGTGCTTTAATGTACAACTTAAAGTTGTACCATAACATTAAATGTATAAGCTAGTTTAGATTGTACCATAAAGCAACTTGTACTATTATGTTATTGTACAACTTTACAACTTGAAGTTGTATCATCACATAAATGTACAAGTTTAAGTTGTACCATAAAAGAATTTGTACAAAAAGTATAGGTACAATCTAAAGTTGTACCATAACGTAAATGTACAATTTTAAGTTGTACCATAAAGACAAAACCCTATAGCGCCGATACTATATAGCATTGAAAAATTTCTCTACTCTTGAATATTTTACCTGAATTGAATCCGAATCCCTCATTGAAACTATATTGAAAACTAGTTCGCCCCCACTTATTCTAAAAATTATGAAACTCAAGAATGAAAATTTATACAATTTATTTTTAAAAACAAAAAAAAGCATCTAGTCATCAATCTTTCTTTTGTCAACAAATAAAGCCGTTGTTGTTGACATGCATCTTACCATATAACTAACTAGCTTAGTCATCAAAGCACATTAGAAGAACCCAAATGGAAAAGCTTCCACGCATTGACATTTTCAGGTGTTCAGTCAAGCTATATGATCTATCAACCCTAAATTCCTGTCATAACGAAATTGGTGTATACCAAACACTCCCCTATGGGCGAACTTTAATTAAAGCCGATTTGGTGGGACAATGACTGGATCATAGTCGATTAATTACTACTAACAATCCGTCGTGTCCGCACATGCATGCATGTTGCCCTAGGGGCCGTTTGGATGGATAAGAGAGGGCTGTCGGAATTGATGTGATGCAAATGGACTTATAACAAACAAGGCCCACTTTGAAAATGCTGGACCTAAAGCTTTTCTTCTGCTATTCATCATCGATCAAATTGGCTTAAAAAGGCTAAAAGCCCAAAAAGCAGGGTGAGACTGCTGACGTCTAAAGCGAGGAAAAGGCTGGCAAAAGGAAGATTTCCCGGGTTTTTATGACGTCCCCAAAAGTTGTGTTTTTTATGTGTATGTTATTGTTGGGGGAGGCTTTTGAAGTCATCTTGTGTTGCGTCGATTCCATATGGTATGTTTACAGAATAGTGTGGCAGGAAATCTAGCTATGATCTATGTATCTTCTAGGCTAAGCTTCTTTCCAAGGTTGTCAGCCCGCGGGTTGACCCGCGGGTCGACCCAGTTTGACCCTGACCCGATGAGAAAAACGGACCGCACGCACCCGTCGGGCCGGCCGCTATAAGGTACCGGGTTGGAGGTCAAATTGTGTCATTTTTTCCTTTGATTTGCGAAATGCGTCTATTTTCCGATTTTTCTTTTCGCCCAACTCAATCTTTGGAATCCTAAGTTGAACATTTGAATATTTATGTTATATAAGTGTGTGTGAATTTTCATTATATGTTGGATCCAAGTACGATATGTTATTTTGGTGTAATATTATATGTTATAACTCATATGTTAGATAAGATTTGATATAATTTATGAGGATAAGTACAATATAATGACTTTTTCCATATTTCCGGGCCAAACCGGGCTAAAACTGTTGACCCATTAACCCTTGACCCACTAGCTCGACCGGGTCCGGGTCAACCCGCGGGTTGACAACCTTGCTTCTTTCTCAATATACTAGAGAGCTTTTATGGGGACTCCTAACCAACGGAAGATCGTTTCAGGGTTGTTTGCCGATTGGATTTGGGTGATGCATTTATCACCCAATTTCAAGTAAGATGGATTTAGATATTCAAAATTTATGGACGCCACGGATTTATAAATACCGTATTTTACTAGGAAATTGGTTGAGGGCTAGAACATTTTGGTGCAAAATGATATAAGTTCGTGATCAAATCAACTACAAACAAACAATGTACTCTTTCAATCCTGTGATGCAATAAATTTATCAAAATTTGAAGATTTTTAAAACTCAAAATCCTCGTGTTTATTCCAACATGCAAACCATCGTTAGTGCAAGAAAAACAAAAACATTTTTTCACGCTAAATTATGTAATATTTTTTCATATACTTAAAATTTTGCACATATCAAATAAATCTCGTGCATATATTTTTATCTGCATTCAAATATCATATTTTATCTGACTCATATTACAGTCAAGTAAACCATTTTCTGAGTCCAAGTACTTACTGTTAATTGGAAGATGTTGAGTTCGGATCTACTCCATTCATTTGTTAATAATAAACAACGTGAAAGTGGACCAATAAATATGATTGAATGAAATGAAACGGAGACGAAAATAATTAGACCCGTCAAATATACAACGCATCAATTTAGTGGGGGGAATGTAGCCTATCGCCCTATCAATTTACAGCCTGTTTGGATGGACAAAAAACTCAGGAATTGGAATTTCATTTCCAATTCTATTTCATTATTTCATGTTTGGAATGGTAAGAAGGTTGGGAAATGAATTCCATTTGACTAAAATATTGGAAATTAGAATTCCTATCAAAAGTGATAGGAATTGGGTTTATGGAGATGGAATTAGTGGGACCCATTCATATTTATTATTATTTTATAATTCCACTATCTTATTTCTCTCTTTCTCTCTCATCCATATTTCATTTCCCAAGATAAAAAAATCTACTAAATCATTAATGATTGTTAAAGAATACAATTCATTTCCATAGTTGTTGGAATTATGCCAAACACAAATATTGGAAATGGAATTCCATAAAAGTTAGAACTGGGAATGAAAATTCATTTCCATTTCTTATGGAATTGTATCCAAACAGGCTGTGTCAAAGTTAAAATTTAATTCAATGAGTACCTAATTGTTGACTTACTGAGGACAAATAGGCCCATGGTACTTTTCGTCGCCAAGGAGCACAAAGGCCCAATTCTTTACGGTATGGGCCTATTAAAAGGCCCCCCGCTCATTGTATAGCTAGCTGTTCGTGGCATAGGGCCCAATGCCAATTATCGTTCTTCCCTTCTCCAAAAAGTCAATTTGATTTACCACAAGATTTTGCTACGGTGACCCGCTGTAACTTAGCGAAAATAGTTGGCCACTTTCGAAAAATTATTGCTCATGTTTAATGTTCATGATGATTTTAGGATCAGAATAACTATTTTTCGAATATCCCGAAATGGATAAATGTCACATTTGGTTACTGGGATTACTAAATCGTGTTATGTTTAGTCACTAAAAAATATTACTATCAATTTTTGTCACTCGAATTATTAAAACAAGTCACATTTAGTCACTCTTCCGTCAGCCCGCGTCCAACTCCGGTCACTCGAATTACTTTTCTTTTTTAATGAATGTCACTCGAATTACTGAAACGTGTCACATTTAGTCATGTTTCAATAATTCGAGTGGCCAAAATTGATATTAATTTTTTCTAGTGACTAAACATAACATAATTTAGTAATCTCAATGATCAAATGTGATATTTACCCATCCCGGAATTCAGTAATGACCTGAAAAGGAAAGATTATCTGCTCCAATACTGCGAAGTACCATTCTTCTGTTCCTCCCTTGGACTAGAAAGTGTTATAATTCAATGTACTACAGAACTGTGGCAGCTGTGCCTTTTTCTTTTCTTATCTGGATTTGATTGGATTTAGAATAACTATGGACTATGGTTGGTTGGTGTATCTTAATTGCTTTTCTTTTATCCATTTAATAAGCACAGTACTGTTCCATTTTATCTTCTCCTTTGATTACTTTTGATATAGCTACCAGCCTAACACCGTAATGTAAAGCCTTCAAAGTTGCCATTGCGGATAACGAGAACTTTTACAAGATCATGTTCAGTTGCTTAATAAACACATCACTTGATCAACTTGCAAATTGCGAAGGTGAACGGATGATGTTGGAGAGAAAGTTTACCATGCCCGTTAAAAATTGTATAAAAGTCATTTTATCATGTAGTAGGCTGAATTTTTAAGAGTCATAGACCTATATAAACTCCAAAAATATGGCTAAACAATTACAATTTAGTTGCCCTTGATATCGTTCTGTTTATTTCAATACATGTAACTTATTTAACGACTTGAATAACGGAGTGTCGATCAAATATCATCTCCTTTTTCTTATTTAACTCTCATGTCTGTCTTGCTAAATCCACAAAATGTAAATTACAGTCTAGGAATTAGAGTGACCTTAAATATCCATTTATTGTTTAGATCCTTTGAAAACTAAACAAAAACAAGATTATGAATAAATGAAATAAAGTTATTTTGTTCATTGTATTGTCTCTAAATATTATTCATTGTTTTCAGAGTCAGTGAATACGCACGCAACTTCGAATTCGATTAACAAACTAATTTTTCTTTGGAAATATTTTATTATTTGGGTTTGGGTTCTGGGTCTGGTCTGTAACCGTTTTCTTTGCCAGATTGGATTAGGTTTAGTGAACCACATCGTGTTAGTGAAAAATGGCTCTGCTCGATATAGTGAAACTGGCTCTCTCTCGCCCGTGAACTAGCTAACACACATTGTGTTAGTGAACCACATAAATTGTGCGTCGTATTTTCGATTCTCGCTTTCGTATTCTTGCTTTCTCGATTACGACGATTTACCGACCAGCGCGTTTATAACAATCATGAATACAAAAAATTCATTGTTTATTAATGTCATGGAAATGTAGGAAAGAGCAAGTGACTATCCATTGTAGCACTGGGAAAGGTGATAATAAAGCAATTAAATAATTAAGTGAAAAAAGTTTGAGGCAAGCAATACATTGCATGCCTTTCATTCTTCATTTTTATTTTTTTTTATTTTTTGTGTGTTATATGTTAGGTGAAGGATTTTCATGAATGGATTAGAATCCCTTGCTGAGTCACATGTGTTTCAGCATATTGATGGAAAAAAGAGGCATGTTTTTTCAGCTGTATTGTGTGTTAAAAAAATATACCTACATCAAGTAGCAAATATCACAAGCTTGTAACATGCTGTTATCATAAAAGTGTTGTAATATTCAGATGTTGGATAGAGACATGATCGATAGTTTTCAAAATACATGACTATGATTGTTAAGAGAGTTGGAGACTGATTTTGGGTGAAAAAAATAATAAACAAACTTATTATCTTTCTCTTTAAATTTTTGTATTTACACCCAAATGTTAATCAGCCATATTATCGATCAACCTGGTTTTCGAATCCCATTAACTCGAGCTCGATACCTGCATCTGGAATGGCTGTTTCACTACAAAAATCATCAAAAATACATAATTGACCAGACAAAACTACAACCACGATATAAGAAAAAGTGGCATCTTAATTCCCAACTTGTAATCTTCTCCCCCTAAGCTTGCTGTGCTAGTGTTGGGGATGTGCAATCCTAAAGCCATCCGGCTTGAGCTCCTGCAATGCAAGTCCTGCTGAATTTTGAGTCCGAACTCAAGAAGTGAATAATTAATTAGTGTTCAATCTCGATCAATTATTGATGAATATCTAATCTGGCTGCTCAATTTGGTAAACTGACCCAAACAATTTGTTTTCGATAGAACAGGGCCTTAATTGGATACCCACATTGAAAGAGAGCTAGTTAGGTTAGTATATGCTATTATATATGGGTTAGTGGAACCCCCTTTCTTGACCAAATTCTTGTCCATATATGTATATACTCAACTCCATTGTTTCACGATAACGCAAGAAATTAGCAACAGAACCCCCACCAATCCAAGCCCTGATTGGCTCCTGCACCAAGCCATTCCCATTTGGCCAGCGCCTTTAATGCGTGCTCTCAAAGAGTTTGGATCCCATCAATTTAACTAATCCCCTCCAAAACTAACGTCCTTGATTTCATATAATTTATGTTATAGTTCATCGTTTCTGGGTAACTGTGAGATGTTGCGAAAACCCTACACGACTATGCTTATAGTGTTGTCATTTCAATAACTGAATGGCTAAACGTCGCCCTGCTATTACTATTATCGCCCTAATTTGAACGTAAAACTACTAAATTATCCTTCATTAATCAAACCAAAATAAATTAAAAATTTCTAAAATCACTAATCCTCCAATATGATGGACCACCGACAAATACTCCCCGCTGCCGCCTACCTACAATCTGCAGCCGTTCCATCTCCTCCGCTCTTCTCCCCAATTCATCGACGACACCATCCATCCAACCGCCTTCTTTATCGAGGGAGTAATCTCTGCTCTGATCGAACACCCATCTCATTCCGTCGCCGCCCTCCTCGCACCGGACAGATACCATCCTGGCGGCAGCCGCGGCGTTGCTGTGAGAAATCAGGGAATCCTCCTATAAAAATTACAAAACAACGGCACCATACAAATATTGTTACTCTCTCCCCGTGATCATCTCCAACCCATGCACCCATCATAACCTTCCGCACCTTCTTATTATTGGCACCAGGGAGTACTCCGCTGGTAGTAATACCGGCGTTTCCATTCCGATGTGCCTCCGGACGGGCCGCCGTCGAGAACTAAAAAAGCAAGTTCCCTGAATAGTTTTATGAGCTTAAAAAGCTATTGTTAATTAATAATCCTTAAGTCCTTAACTAAATTAGAACTTATGATTTCCTTTCCTTCTTCTTCTTCTCGTTTGGTGTGGGTTGACGATCTCCGGAGAGCAGAGGAGAGATCCTTGTAACGTGGACAGCAGGTAGCAGTTTGATTCCTATAGGGAGTGTTTTTTGTTCTTTTATATGTTTAATTGTGTTTGTTATGTACTAAGAACAAAGAAATAAAAGGGATAAAAAGGTCGTTTTGATTTTTAAGTTAGGGTGATTAAGTAGAATCTAGTGCGACGTTTAGCAATCCCTTTCAATAAACTCGTTCTCATATCATATAAATATCAATAGCCCGATTTAGTATTGTTGCATTTTAGTTTTTTAGTTAAAAAAAGTTCTCAATAACTTAGATATTATACAACTAAATTTTTTATAGATTACCATTTCTCACCATCAATCATAATAATGGAATGGGTAAATACTATTTTTTAGCCAAAAAATTTTCTCATTCCGTAATATTAGCCAAAACTATCGTAATACGAATTATTAGCCAAACGTTAATTATCCGTTACCATCTCCTTTAAAATTGTTGACTAGGCACGACAATGCTGAGTTGGTATCCAGGTGGCGATCAATTTCGGTTCTAATTTTAAACTTAAAAAATAACGATTTAAAAAAAGAAAAGGAAAAATAAACCCCCTCGGTCCCGACTTACCACCTCCCTCCTCCGGTCTCTTCCTTATTCCCTCATCTCCGCCCGACGATCTCCCTCCACCATTTCCAGCAGGCGAGGCAGCAAAATCTGTCGTCGTCTATTAAACCACCACGATCGTTGCGCCTCACTGATTTCAGGAGTCTAACAGCGCCATCCATCTCTGTGTTTTGAAGCACCGCGGTCGACGCCCGACTGAGAAGCCAGCTGAAGACGAAGAGAGAGGGACAATTCAATCGGAGTCCAATCTTTGGCCGAGAAATCTTCAAGCAAGGTAAGGTTGTTCCAGTTTTTCGATTCGAACCCTATCCCTTTCGAAATTTTTGGTTTGAGTACACAATCCTTTCTTCCAAATCGAACCCTTTCTGTAATTTTAGGGTTTCTCAATTTGCGAAGAGTGGAGAATTTACATGGATTGAGAATCGATAAGTTCAATTAAGTTTCTTAGATGGAGAATCGAAAACCGAACCCAAATCATGCCTCGATTTGCTTTTTGTTTCTTGGGTGCTTCTGGTGCATCTTGGTTTCTCGATGCTGGCCATTTTATTGTCTTCTGGTTCCGTATGCAGATGCCGAAGGGAAGAGACGACTACGACGAGGCTCAACGATGGCGGCAGCGAGGCTCAACGATGATGGCCCGATGCTCAACTACGGCCGCGGCGACGAGGGCAGAAAATGGATTCGTGCGTTTTAAAGACAATATGAGGAATTAAAAATTAAAAGCAAAAAATAATAAAAGACCAAATTTTAATGTTGTCATACGTGGAAGCTGACGTGTTTGCTGAGTTGGACCACCGTTAACAAAAAATTTGCGGTAATGGAATTAATGCTAATATTTCGCAACGTCAATTAACATTTGGCTAATAATTAGTATTACGATAGTTTTGACTAATATTACGAAATGAGGAAAATATTTTGCTAAAAAATAGTATTTACTGAATCCTTAATTTCAAGAAAGGGAATGAAAATGGCACAAAAAAGGGATCAGTTAGCGTGACTACCCCTAAAGGGGTAGTGATTTTTGACACCCCCTTTATGATTGGCCAATTTTATTTCCAATCATTGGCAAGTATTAATTAAACTGATTTTTTATTTTTTTTAATCTTGTAATTTGGGGTCTCTCACCACATTGGAAAAGAGAAAGAATCTGGGGAAAAATGAAATCACCCCCATTAATTACATAATTAATTTCTCTCACTGGTACATTAATTACACGTACCACTCCACTGGTACACGTACCACTCCACTGGTACATGTACCAGTGGAGTGGTACGTGTACCAGTGGAGTGGTACGTGTAATTAATGTACCAGTGAGAGAAATTAATTATGTAATTAATGGGGGTGATTTCGTTTTTCCCCAGATCCTTCCCCATTCATAATTACCAACGTTTTTCTCCTTCCCCATTCATAATTATTATCACAATTAAGGCTTTCCTAATTTACAAGATTACAATAAATAAAGTAAAAAGCTTAAATGGAAAAGTGACCAATCAAGAGGAGGGTGTCAAAAACCACTACCCCTTTAGGGGTTAGCATAGTATCCGACCCCCACAAAAAATAATCTTTGTGATACAAGGACTTTCGATCTGGACCTCTCCCTAATCATAGAAAAGCTCCATTGGAATCGGAAGGTCAATCAATTGCACATGCACTTATGCCAAAGGACTTAAATATATTTTTGCCTTTACAAGTTGTGGAGAGGTGTACAAGTGTTCATGAATATACCTCGAGATAAAACACCACCCCCCACAACTTCTACCTGCTGAAAGGGCAACAATAATAATTAGCCATCGCTTTGCATCACACCACGCTTCCAATCAATTAAATATTAACCCACTTGTACCAATGCTGATGTCTCACTCACTCTCAACATACCCCTAATTAATTAATCCAACCCCATAATCTTCTGATTAATCATACAAAAATGTCGGCATCGCCCAAATAATAACCCCATCTGCAACGTGACGTACGCTGTCGTATTAGACAGTAGCCAGAATGATAATCAATCTTAAATCTTTATTTTATTAATAAGATTCTTTTTTTTCTTCTTCTTCTTTAATTGTGGTGTTACATGTGGTAGAATAACAAATTCCTCTGAAAATGAATCCCCTCCTCTAAAAACTTTCACCACCCCAAAAGGGTAAAAAGAATTTTATAATAAATTAACCTACCTCTATAAAGAATACAACCCCTCAATTCCTAGCTAATTTCGTCTCCAACGATGGACGGGCCATCTAACATCACTAATAATTTAATAATTAATTAATAACCTCGGGTAGCGCCTGCCTATCAGTTTTGACGGGCCAACTTAGTTCGCTTTCCCATTAGCGAGTCCACCTCCCCGTCAGCCCAACGGGCCCACGGCCCATTTCAGTGGTGTCCTACGTGGCCCTCACATGCCGTAGGCCCCACACCACCATGTTATTGGTTTCTCCATGGCGGCATGGGTCACGGGCCATTTCTCCCATAATCCCCGACCCATCAGCCAACCCGCCCGGCCGACCCATGTGATCCAGTATTAAAAACAAAAACAAAAAAAAGGTTTTCAGAAGAACTGCATCAACCGCCATACGGCCAATGTGATGCTGACGGCAGCACCCACGTGGGTACACGTGGTCGCCGCACCGCCGTTGTTGGCCAACTCCCCGCCTTCGTACACCATCGAGCCGTCAACAAACGGCGAACTGCCCCTCCCGTCGTTTCCGCCAGCCGTGATCCCCGGTGGCGGCGGCGATGTCATCGTCGTCGTTCCCTGGTTCTGACCCTGCGACGCCTTTTGACTGTCCAATCAAAAGAAACAACTCCGTCAGTGGCCGTTATGTATACCAATTAAGTATTCAATTACTTTATTATACGTACGTATACAGATCCGCAAACCGAGGCGGGAGGAGCTTCCGTTTCAGCTACGGATCTGTATCTGTATTTGTTTAATTTTAGATAATACTTAATGCACTAAATAAAAAAATTGCGGTTTTCACTTTCCTAATTTCTCAACCGGGCCGAAACCCGACCCGAATTCTTATGTCGGCGTACAATTCACTTCATTTTCACGTTTTTCTAAGCAGACAGCGGTAACAATTACGGCGGTAAAAAGATAAATAAAAAATGCTGGGCCGGCAAACGTTCGTTTTCCCAGGCTTTTTCAACGGGTGGAAACGGTGAAAAATGGACGGCAAGCTGTAATTTGTTTTTTTATTATTACCTGGTGCTGGGAGTGGGACAGAAGGTGATGGCGTAATCGGCGGAGGAGCAAGTGAAAGTGCTGGTCTTGTCATCGTACGCGTAGCTGTAAGCGCGTGGGCAGGCGTTCTTGAAAGCGAGCGAATACGACGTCGGCTTGCAGGTGTCGGGGGTCGCGTAAGCCCCATCGCAGCAGTACTGCGGCTGGCGGAAGGCCTCGCACGCGCTCTTGCACGCGACGCCCTCTCCAGCCTCGGAGACGACCTTGAGATCAGAAGGACACGCGCCGTTCAGATCGACCACGCAGCCGGTGCTGGAGCAGTTCTGTCCCGACCCGCCCTGCGGCGAGACGAGGACGGGGAGGTTGTAGCCGTCGACGAGGCTGACGTCGAAGAAGTCCTGGCCGCCGTAGCCGTCGAGCTTGAATTCGGCGAGCGTGGCGGGGGGAGCGGCGCCGGCGCCGGAGCACTCGACCTTGCCGGAGCCGCAGTCGCCGGTGATGCAGGAGAATTTTCCCGTGGAGTCCTCGGAGCAGTGGGTCCGGCCCCAGAGGCGGCCGCCCCAGGAGGCCGGCGGGGAGATGGTCCGTGTCTCACCCTTCTGGAGCGCGAATCCGGTGGTGGGCAGCGGCGCCACGTCGGCGTTGGAGAGAATGCCCGGCCAAACCGTGTAGTCGCACTGGTTGGTGATCGTGAAGGTCGTGGAAACGACGCCGATTGGGAAGAAATTAGCAGTACCCAAGATGAAGAGGAGTAGCAATTGAGGAATTAGAGGAGCCGCCATTGAATCTATGGAAAAGAAGAATAAGAGTTGAAATAAGATTTTTTTTGGAGTTGGGAATGACAGAGGAAGAAGATGAAGGAAGGGCGGCAGATTAATGGCGGAGAGATCTTCTTCCTCTGTAAGAAAGCAGGGAAGGGGGCTGAATGGGGAAGATTTTAGGAAAGAGAGGAGCGAGTGGCGTATTTATAGAAGGAATTTTGATGACGTTGGGCTATGGGGCCCAATAAGTTGCTGAGTTGGCACCTTGATTTTCTGACCAGGAGGAGGGAGTTATTTGCTGGATTATTTACCGTTGGATCTCTGACAAAGCAAAGCTGACAAACTCACTCCATGATATATTTAACTTTTACGCTCTGTTTGGCAACAAGGGGTGCAAATTGCAGGAGGGTGCAAGTTGAGGGGTAAATTGCTGAGGGGTGCAAATTGCTGGGGGTGTAAGTGGAGGGGTAAATTGTTGTTTGGATGAAAAAGTAGGGGGTGCAAATAAAGTGCAAAGTAAGTAATTATATTATTTTAAAATAGATTTTAAAATTATAAAATAGATTTTAATATTATAAAATAGATTTTAAAATTATAAAATATTATCATAAAATAATAAAATAAATATTACTATATGATAATAAATATACTTTACTAAAAAAATAGTTATTATATAATAATGCTCAAATAATAATTAATTATAACAATTGTAATAATCATTGATCGAGCGATCTCAAAACTCGAAGCTCAACTCGTAACTGGTCATCCTATATAGGGTTTTCGTGTCTAGTTTAATCTTAAATTGTCAAACTTAGTCAAACACGTTCGAATTTGTAAGTTTTAACTATTTAGTCAAATAAAATGAGTTAACCAAACAATTTCTCTCTATCTTTTCCACAAACACCTTGTATATCTAATTTTCAATGCAAATTCGATTCAACCAAGAGATCTAGATTTGACTTGACGAACATTTATAAACTTGTTTCCAGAGTCAAATGGTCAACCCCGAATAATGTTTACATTAATGATATTTATAAAAAGAAGAAATTGATAATATTAATTATTATATAATTATATATAACACAATTAGAAAAATAAAATTCCATAATTCCCCCCTCCCCCTCTCTTCCTTCCTTCCTTTGCACCCCAATTCGGGGGGTAAGCCGAAACAGTAAATTTGCACTCTCGTTTTGCACCCCCCTACTGTTCCAAATTAACCAAACAGGTGCAAATGTGTTGGAAACTGTGTTTACACCTCACATTTGCACCCTCCTCCCATTTACCCCTCTTCCCAAACAGAGTGTAACTCACTCCATGTTAATGAGAAGTTGGAACTTAATGTCTCCGCTAATGATCCATTAGTAAATTCCTTAATGAACATTGATCCTTCATACACAAATATTAGTATGGTAAGACTATACAATAGAAATAAGAAAATTATTAGCAGTGGAAGAAAAAAAAAAACATGCCTAGTGTTCATAATTAAAAGGTACCCAATAATACCTGTAAATAAAAGTATCCAATAATAGATGGGTAGTAGTTGGATTAGCAATCAAACGGCCCAGTGAAATTGGGTGCATGTTGTTGGGTAGACAGTCACTTTGGGGAGACAATTTACCTCATAATCTTGCTGGGTGATGGGCACTGGTCTGTGATGGTGCCATTTCAACAACTAGGCACATTATCATCAATAATTATTATTATAATTATAATTGATCCCGACTACTCACATACTCGCAATGTCATCACAACTACTCATGTATTCGCAACTGAAATTGACAAAAACTTATTTGATCTGAATTCATATCTTTCTTGTTACTTATAACCCACCTACTTAATTTGAACCAACTGTACGATATACTAGATTCGCATATTAGATACAGAACAATTTTACCAAAGATATAAACAAATAGCATATCAATTAATAATGCTGATACTTTCGTCCAAAGCGTAATGATCTTTTTTTCCCCACAAGAGTACTTGAGCAACCCTTGTGTATCAAGTGTCCAATTTTGGTCAACACGTCCATTTCTTGCGAAGAAGCAACACATTGATTATTCTAAACCAGCAATTGAAGTGAATTCCCCACCAGCACTACCAAATATTGGTATTCTTCCGGGAGGGGGTGGTTCAATTTCAATATATTATCTTTGAAGAATAGAATAAAGTACACAAAACTAAATTGTGGGAGCTAGCAAGCTAGGGATACTGGATAAGTCATATTTTGTTAGCTTTTTACAAAGAAAGAAGAAACAAATCCCCCACGTTTTCCCTAAGAAACGTCAAACCCTTTCGATTTGCCAATTCTCCAAGTCAGTTGACCTGTCCTTCTAACAACGAAGAAATTTTTGCATACAATCAACCTTTTATACTATTACATAAACCTGTAGAGAAAAACCTAATTTTTTTTTCTAAAATATAAATACTAGTTCATTAAACAAAGACTATAGTGGATGCTAAATCAACGAGGTGTTGATATTGACGTTACAATACATACTGACGTTGATCTTGACTCCATCTCGATTCTCGAACAAGCTTGTCACCTTATAAATTTGTACGAAACTTGTTACCCAATAAGGTGAATGGAGAAACTGTCTTGAAATATGTACATATTAACTGAACCAAGTAAGTTAGATGTGATTGTTTAACTCGTGAGTTCCTCTCTAATTCATAGTTAGTTGAAATAGTCTTATTCACTAAACAGTGTTTCGTAGCATCAAACTTTCTGGACAGGATTATTAAGGGAATAAGGGTAGGTTAACTTAACTGCTCCCTGCCTTTCAAAGTGGATCAACGGCCTGTTATATATCTTCGAATTTAGGCTATAATCATTGACTTTCTCTCTTTCAAATGAAAGGCAATCAAATCATTTTTAGCTGGCCTGGGGCTGGGTGGGTTTGCCCTGAATTTAGACTCAACCTGAAAGCAACCGGCCAAGGCCTTTCTTGCGATTGTCAAACAAGCATCACCCGTTTCCTGCAAATATCTTTATGCATGAGGACGATTCGATAATATCCCAAGAAATTCCGACCAACAAAATATCTTTGGGATTGATTCCCCAACTTATTATGATCGAGAGAGAGATGCTGGTTGGGACATGTATATTTGAACACCTTTTAATTACCTCTCAATTTAATGGATTGTGAACGTGGAATTCTCCCAACCCTAAAATAAAATAGTTATTTTTTCACCATCCTACAGTTCGCAATTTGTCAAGAACTAGTTAGTACTCATGACTCAAGTTGTTGAGAGAGATTCAATGATGATTCATATATCATTTACGAACACAATTACACAACCCCTCAAACGAAAGGCATTCATATAGGCTTGAAGATTGGACTAGTCTAGACACCATGTGCATAATATAACATATGAAGGTCACTTTAATTTGAATAGAGGATCTCCCGGTCGTCACAGAAGGCTCTTTCTACTATGTGAAAGTTTCGAGTCTTGTGAAAAAACCCTTTCTCTTCTGCTTAGGAAGAAGAAAGAGGAAGGATGAGCCAAGTAGGGTTTTGGAAATTTGGCTCTCTGGCCTTTTCCATTGGTTTCCTTAGCTGAATTGTGTATTGCTGAGGTAAGCTGCTGTGCCATCCCCATCCAGGTCACTGATCTTCACAAATTTGAGAAAGTAAAATGGTGTATATGGAAACAGTTATATTTTGATATCACAATTAGCAGATTTATGACAAGGCGGCTAAACTGTAGAGACCGTTGAAGACTTGAAGGTGCCAAGGAAGAGAGAGATTGTTGTGAATTGGGCTGCTGGATCTGTTTAACAGTTATTCCTTGGCGGCTGGCTAGTGGTTAATTAATAGTCCAATTGGCAAACAACTGATATAGATGTGCTCCACCTGGATATATATGCCGGCAGTTTTGGATATTGGCTCGGTCAAAAAACAACAGAAGAAATCAAGAAACACATTTATGTTTGTGGAGATTATTCAATTGGTAAACAGTTATTTTGTGTGCAAATGGTCAAACGAGATTAAGAAAATTATGTTACTGTAATCTGTATTAATAATTCAGGGATTTTAAGAGTAATGTGTCAGGCACGAATCAATGATTTTTCCTTATTCTTCCTTTGCCAAGTATCTATATGAGGTTTATTGATATTTGTTACTTCATTTGTGTCGATATCTCGTTTGAAAGATTTAGTAAACTTATGGTAGCTGATAAATCAGTACGAGGTGGGTACATCTAACGAAAATATTCTTATTACTTTAACACAAAACTGATGAATAAAACTTAAAATATAAATATACACTCACATTAGTAAATGAGAAACTCATTCATATACTCACAACTAATTAACTAATACTTCAAAACATCTATATATAATATATAAAGAAGAAGGGAATTAAAAAACACATCAACAAACAAACAACTGCATAAGAATATAATTGTGGAAATCAAATCACGCTTTTCAAAAGAGTCTGTGAACGAATTCATACATTTAATTCGGATGAAAATGTTATAATACCTCCTACCCAACAAATATCAATGCTTCAACAATCAAACCAATTGATTAGATTGTAGCTATAGTGCACAAGTATCTTCTTAGTAGCTAGCTAGGACAGCCACCGATTTAAACCGCCTTATTATATCAAGTGGTCGCAAATTCAATTTCAAAGGGAATAATAATTTGAGTGGAGGTGGAGGGAAAGAATATGTTCTTCCTTGTTTTTTTTTTTACCCAAGGAATTGACACTTGGTGGGTGTACTATTATATTTGTGTTATTAATTACCACGATTCGTGACCCATAATGATTGGCTATTTTACCACACTAATCAGTAGTAATAGCATATAAGTGGTGGCCGAGCAGATTCCACACGCAATCCCCAGCTTAGTTACTTTGCAAAAACAACGTTTTGCTTCACTTCAACGGGTGAAAAAAAAAAAAGAGAGAGAGGAAAACCGACTTTTGGGGACCAACCAACCGTTAGATTTATGACTGCTGGCTGAATTTGTGAAATAGTTATCACCTAGATCGATTTCAGATTGTGTGTAACTAACACTAAATCTAACGGTTGTGTTCACCCATAAAAAATCAACTTGTACCACATCGATTAATTACAAGGGGATTAATGGATTTATAAGGCCAGCTCAACATTAATGATTAAAAGAGCCAGTTGGGCCTAGTTGGGTTGGATTTTTGGGCCTAAGTGGCCAAACCCCTTCTTCTCTATACGATGGCCGACCCGTCTCCGTGGCCTCCATAGCCAGACGATGCCTCCACCCCTTGGTATGAAATTTGACTAAGTATGGAGACCCAACCAC